GGGGCTAGATTGTGCAAGTTTATGGACTTCAAAAAGTACTTCAGTGTAGGTTTGGCTTTCATTTTAGCCTCTTTATTCCAAATGTTCTGCCCATTCTTTCCAAGACACAGATTTCTCCTCATTGTGGGATGCCCAGCTGCAAAAAGGGAACTGGAAGAGAAGGGGAAGATAAAACCAAAACAAACACACACACCCCCAGGAGATTCCCACAACTGGAAACTGAGAGCAATGGTGTTTATAACTATCAGACTTTGAAAGCAGTACTATACACAAATGTAGCCGATGAAAAATGAAAAGGCTTTATCCACAGAATTGTCCAAAGATGTTCATATCAGTGGACAGATACACCAAAATGCTCTACCATTAAGAACCATAGATTAGCCACAGTTGCCAAGATACCACAACCTGCATGAACAACAATAGACTGCCATTGTGTAATTACTGCAACTGCTTTCTAAATTATTGGAGCTGTCAAGGATGTGTCCTGAATTCAATTTCTTTGTGCCATTTGCCCCTTTCAATTTTATCATCGTAGAATATACTTATGAATCCATCTCCACAAGTCTACCTTCTCCTGGAAAACATTCCAAATCCTCTAAAACAGACAAATGTAAAGAGTTGTGTTGGTATATAGACACATTCCAGAAACAGTAGAATAATACCTAAGAAAAAGGTATTACACTATTATTATCTGTCCACTTTGCAGATGAATTTTGATTTATTTTTTTTTTAAAAAGATCTTACGTTTCAGATCTTGGTCTATACAGGTCTCAACATGAGTGTATAAGTAGTAGCTAATACAGGCCTGCAGTTTTAGGATCTGCGAAGTCAAATGCAGATGTCCAACCCTCAGCTTACCTCTGATTACAAACATAAAAGCTAAGCACCTGCCATGCCACAATACACGGCTGACAGGCCACATTTGGCTTGTGGATGAAAACGTTCTATAGTAGCACCCTAGGAATGGTGAAAGCAAGGAAGAGGTTCTGCCAGAGAACAGCATTCATTTTATCATCCTTCCAATTTCTTCACTAGAGTTATTCAGTTAATTAACTTCCTTTCTACAACTTGCCCAAGGAAGATAGTTCTAAAAACAAAAACCCTCAATAAAAAGTAAGGATTTGCAAATCAAAGCAGAACAAAGACTAGCATCATTACCTGGAAATAAACAAAATTTAATTTTGATTTCTAATTTATAGTAAGCCTGGAGATTTTATTGTGCTATACCAGCATCTATGTATTTAATATACATGCTTTTAATAAAAGTTGAAAGCAGTATTTTTCAAAAGCATTATTAAATTTCTTCCACCCACCTTAAATAATTTCCTATTCTTGCTCTTAACAATAAGGACTTTCCTTCACGTATAGTACCTTTCAACCAGAAACAAATTATCTGCAGCCTACATACAAGGATGATTCCACCTACCATAGAATAACAGAATTAAAGTAGCTGGGAGGAGTTTAAAGTCCAACCCCCTAAACAGAGTCTGGATACACAAGAGAATCTGTAACTTTCCTTCGCGGTGTGCTTCACTAGCCAGTTGTACAAGTGAAGATTAAAAAAAAAATCATAAACCTCAGCTATCTTCTAGCCTAATGGCTCAGGTTTTTTGGCCTATTTGTCAGTATCAACAATTTTTAAAAATGCAAGAATGCTTTTCATTCACCTATTAACTCTTTTTATTTCTAGAAGTCCTACATCCATCATGTATTTATGATTTAGGTAAAGGTAAAGGTTCCCTTGCTCAAAAGCCAGTCAAATCCGATTCTAGGGTTGCGGTGCTTATCTCCATTTCAAAGCCGAAGAGCCAGCACTGTCCAAAGACGTTTCCGTGGTCATGTGGCCGGCATGACTAAACACCAAGGCGCATGGAACGCTGTTACCTTCCCACCAAAGTGGTACCTATTTATCTACTTGCAATTTCTTGCTTTCGAACTGCTAGGTTGGCAGGAGCTGGAACTAGAGACGGGAGCTCACTCCATCATGCGGCGACCCGGGTCTCGAACTGCTGAACTACTGACCTTCCACAGCCTGCAGTTCAGCGTCTTAACCACTTGAGCCACCGCAGCTTTATGATTTATGATTAGCCCTCCTTAAATGTCAAGCTGGCAAAGAATACCAAATCAGGGAGGAAAACCACACATATAATGAAGATTATAATGCTGAATGGTTTGAGACAGTTCAAATGTAGTGCTGCAAAGTGAAAATATCACAAGTGGAAAATATAACCCAATAGGATGGCTCAGCATGAAACCATGACTTATTTTAATTGCTGTCAGATTGTGAAACCAGATTCAGCTCACAGAGGACAAATTCAGGTTTGGTTTGACAAATCCAGGTTTCAGCTTTCCTTCACTTTAAATACCTGGTTGCTATCCCAGCCTGTATTGCAACATCAGCTAAAGAGTGAAGCTTTGCTGCATCACCAAGTCACTTGGCTGGTGACACTGAAGGTGGGGAAGCCACCAGTTTATACCTGCTTAACTTCCTAACTTTTCAGACTAGCCACTCTTCTTCAGTCCCCACACTAAATCATAAGAATAAAACTGCATACATTCACAAACTTATCTAACCTTCCAAAGGCACCACCCACTCAGGTTTATTTCACAACTGGCAACTTTATTCCAAACCGTGCCACTGGAGCTCACCTTGTACACCAGTGATGGTAAAGCAAATCTGGGGAACAGTGCCCTTCAGGAGTGACAGGAGGAGGCACATCCCACCTGCATCTATGCCGCTGCCACCCGCTTCAGCCTCTATAGCTCACCTTGCAGTCCGGTGGCAAAGGCTCCTCAGGGCAGAGATGAAATCCATGGGTAACAGGCAAAAACACACAATCCTTACACCTATGCTTTCAATGCCCACCTTGGCTCCAACATGGGCTGCAGAGGCACTGTTTTCGGAGCATGCGTGATTGGCAGAGATTGTATAGGCAACAAACCTTGGGTGGCAGAATGACAAGCTGCCCCCAGGACAGAGAATATCAGCATTAGGGGTGTGCATTAGCAAAATTATTGTTTTAAATCCGTATTGGGAACAGAACAGTTATCATTTTTGTTAAAGGTCTATTGCTATCATTTTGAAAACTAGTTCTGGAAATATCAAAAGAATACTTCAGATCAAAACTACAATGATGCACTTCCTGATACAGAATTAAAATGCACTTTTAAGATGAACATGGAATAGGAGACTTCTAGTAAGACGTGATGAAAGGCAAGAATAGCTTCAATTCTGAGCAGCTGTTGCCAGAAAATATCTGAAGCTTGAATAGCAAGAGAAGTGTCAAGTGTGGAGATACCATTCATATATAACATGAAAACATGTAACTGTGCTTAATACATCAACCAGATCTTGGTTTAAGGCATCTAACTATGATACCTGAACAATGTTTGAGTCCATTGGCACCTTTAAGGCCAACATCATATCATCCCCATGATTTCATTTTATGTCTGAAACTGTGTTGTATTTGTTCTTCAGTATTAGAAAGAAGAACAACTATGACCACAAATGCCTTTTTCATTTTGCACAAGAGAAAAGGACTGAATAATACCTAGGTTTTACAGGAAATCACAATTTGTTTATGAGACAGTCATCTGATGTTGCACAAACCAGATAATTGCATTTTGGACTATAGTATCAAAAGAATGAATGCAAGACTTCTGTCCTATGTTGCATAAATATGGGGACAGATCCTATCAGTTTTTCTGCTGGTATAAGTTATTGGGGACCCTTGTTTTACTTGCTATAGCCATTCAAGTAGCATATACATATTTTTATTACAGTATTGATATGCTGGCTTCCTTCCATTTTCAGGGCGCACAGTAGCTTACAAAGCACTAAAATTGGTACAACATAGAAACAACAGAACAAAAAACCAAACAATTAAAGAACATCAGCCCCCCCATCAGTTGCAAAGTTCCACATTTGCCAAAGCCCCTCAATCAATACTGCTTTGCAGTATCTCCAGACATATGTGTGATATTTCTGTTTTCTGGATAGGTTTACCTTCGAATTTCATCTTGCAGAACGGTGCATGAGCTATTATAGTCATCATCCTCACTATCTGATTCATGTATTTTATGGAACTGGGAGCCACAATGAATGTGCTAAATCTAACATGCCATGTTAAGCCTGCTTACGGGAAGGATGGGATATAAATTGAAATAATAAAATAAAATAAAATTCTGCTGGTTTTGCTGCAAGGAAACTATAATGGCTCTTTTTGAATTTGCTGTCTCCCCAAGACATTAATAGAGTGGATCTTTTCTTCAATGAAGACTCTTCACTGATATTAATATTCAAAGCAAACGGAACATAAAAGAATCAAATTTTGGATTATGATTAGCTAGGCCATTTGAAACATGAGTAACTGTAGGCCAATTCTGGGGAAATATAAAAGATCTTAAATATAAGTTCCTAACCTATGGCTGAACTTCGGATGTCATTGTGCAAGTATCCATTCACTTTTCCGATTAAGGTTTTGGCGGTTTTGATGGCTTATTTTATCATGATTTTCCATAGTTGTGCCTGTGTTAGGTTTAGGATTGCTAAGGAAGACAGTATTCATCCCTTCTTAAGTTTTTTTATGCACTCTGCTGTATTATAATGTATTTTACCTTGTATAAATAAATTAATTAAAAAAAATTCTGGGGAACAATTTCTAGCCTAAAGTGGCTGATCTATTAGGACTTAATCCCACATACTGATGCTGTAAATGCCTTAGGAACAGATAAAATTTCTAAACATCTCTAGGTGTAAGTCCAGTAACCAAAGATGCCTGTAATTTGCCAAATGTAATATTTTAATCTTTTAATATGAGGTTTAGAAAACTACATAGGAAGAAAGAAACCCATTTTCACCTAAATTATTCAATTTGATTATTGCAGAGAAGCTACCTTGTGTACTACGTATTTCACTATGGCAAGTCATACATTTACTAAAATCATACTGCTAAAGAAAAACAATGCTCACTGCAAATTAATTCCATGTACAAACTTACTTCAATACTGAAGTACCCTCTGTCAACATAGTCGCCTAGAAAAAGGTACCGTGTGTTGGCAGGAGAACCTCCCACTTCAAAGAGCTTCATCAAATCAAAGAATTGTCCATGAATGTCCCCACAAACTGAAAGAGAGAAAGGGGTGAAAGAAGCCATTTGTTACATCCATTCTACAAACAACTATATTTATTATGTAATTGCCTTCTAACATTTACACTTACCGTTGGACTCTGTAATACAGTTTCCTATAGGATGAACAGCCTTCTAATGAGGTAGGGTCAATAAGCCATCTAACACAGAAGTGTCCAGCTAGCAACAGCTTCCCAAGATCTCATTGTGAGGCTACTGCTTTAGAGTGTTAACCGGTTTTGCAACTAGTTGGAATAATCAACTTATGTCTGATCTATAGATAGGCTGGAGACAAATATAAATGTTTGCGACTCAGCCATTGTTGCCCCTTATGTACATGCTGATTTTTCTGTCCCACGACGATTCCAGGTCAAACAGACTTTCAAAGTTTTGTTCTGCTTCTAAAACGTTCCAGACCTGCTTGACTAGACATGATAGGACAAAAGTATATATATCATGTCAACAATGTCTCCATTATACCAATTGCCTTAGAAATTATTATCTTGCAGCCTCAGGCAATTTCACCAGATTACCCTCTCTAACACCAGAAGCCATTTTCTGCTCAACAACAACACTGACAAGACAGAAAGAGTTGGAGCAAACTGATCAGAGGAATATGACAGAGTATTCACATCTGTAACAGTACGGTGATTTGTCACTGCAAAAGTCTTGCTATATTGACAGTTTGGTGCTGAATCTAGCAAGATATTGGTGAAAGACCTGAATCTCTCAGGGGGAAATGGTATTAATTAGTGCAGGGAGGTTGTCATTATTTAGAGGAATGACTTTGATTTATTTATAAGAATGACTTTGAATTACAGGAATAGTTTAGTACAGACTCTCCCAAACTCCTTTACTCGCTGAAATAATAGTAACCAAAGAACACCACCTTTTAATGGAGAAGAAGCTGGTATACTAAACAAATGTGATGAAATTCAGAAAATAGTCAAGGAACCTTACAAGAGAAGTGGAATGAAATGTAAATTTGGTGGACATATTTATTTCATTGTACTGGCCATTGCAAAATAGAGATGAGAAATGTTGAAGCTGGGGGGGGAGGGAAGCAAAATTACAACTATAATATTTGTAAGAGAAAGGGTTCTGCACCCTACCCACATCATAGCTTATATATCCTAGTTTTTGCCACCTGAGAGGCTGAAAGCAGGAAGTACAACTTTTGTAGGAAATGAACTTAAGTGTATTATTAGAATGGAAACTGCCAAATATAGTCACAATCAATGTTCCCTCTAAGCTGTAGAGTCTTGTGAGCAAAAATGCTACTTTGTGAGCTACCGACATTAAAGTTGTGAGCAGGCCATTTGACTACTGCATAAATTAGTTTGCTCTGGAGCCACCCTTCCTGAGCTAAGGCAAAAATCTGTGAGCTGGAGGTTAAAAACCTGTGAGCTAGCTTACACTAACTCAGCTTAGAGGGAACACTGGTCACAATAGATGCATATTTAGATAAAGAGCCAAACTGTATAAGATTGAAAACACTGAATTCTTCAACAGCGTATCACATATCGTAGAGCACAGGGCTCTTTTTGTAGAAAAAGTCCAGCAAGAACTCATTAGCATAATAGACCACACCCAAAAGCAGAAACTCATAAGCATATTAGGCCACACCCCTGACAACACAGCTCATTAGCCTATTAGGCCGCACCCCCATGTTACCAGAAGTGTAGTCATCCATCCATACCCACCTTTTGCTTCTTATTCTGTTTACACTGTTTCTTGTCAAAACCCAGGGCTTTTCTTGTAGCAGGAACTCCTTTGCATGTTAGGCCGCACATTCCTAACGTAGCCAAGCCTAATGAGTTTCTGGTGTTGGGTGTGGCCTATTATGCTAATGAGTTCCTGCTGGGCGTGGCCAACTCGGGAGCCAGCCGGAACTCCATTCCTGTGCGTTCCTGCCCAAAAATAGCCCTGGTAGAGCATACTGAATATAGATAAAATTATAGTCGCATTTAAATATGCATCCTTATAAAATACTGTGTATTTACAATACATACAGTTATCAAAAACTATATACTGCCCTACATTAAAATATTACACATTTTGAGTGAACAAAACCTTGTCTTAGATAAGCATTTCATTTATTCCAAAAAGAAAAAAAATGTTTCATACAAGGCTTCTTTTAAATTGCTCCCCCAAATCTCCAATTTTGCTGATAGAAAAGCTGAGAACGTCCTTGGGAAAATGCATATATATACTCACAGGAGTAGCTTAACATCACTATCCTCAAATTCAAAATTACACTGATACAGCCTCCAAAGGCAATGTATTTAAACTTTTTATGTACAATCATATGTTTGCACATATTACAACAGAGGTATTTATTTTCATTATATATAGCCTGTCTTTCTCACCTTGTCTCAAAGCAGACTATAAAATAAAGACTAGAAGAAGGAGAGTTGGTTTTATACTAGGATTCCCAGCCCCCAGGTCCGGGTGGGGGTTCCCCTGCTACGGGGGGCTGCAATTTGCCCCTGGCTGGTGGGGAAAGCCCTGCCCCCAAGAGCGACCACCCCCCTCCCCTCCTGCCTAATTTAAAGGGCTTCAGGTGATCGGCGGGGCCCATGTGGCCTGCTGACCAGCTGGAGGGCCCTTTAAATCTAGCAGGAGGAAAGGAGAGGGACAGTGGCAGGCCCCATGTTCAGCTCCCAAAAGGACCTTTTAAAGGGTCCTTTTGCAAGCAGAGCATGTGGCACACAACCACCCCTCCCCCCTCCTGCTAGATTTAAAGGGCCCTCCAGATGGTCAGTGAGCCATGTGGGCCCCACCGATCAGCTGAAAGCCTTTAATTCAGGCAGAAGGGGAGGGAGAGGGGTGGATGGTCACTCTTGGGGTAGGGCTTGGGGGCATCCCCACCACCCACCCTGAACGCCCCCCCCCAGTCCCCCTGCCAGAGGAATGAGGAGACCTGGCAACCCTATTTTATACCCTGCCCTTCACAACCCTAAGGAGTTTTGGAGAGGCTTACAATCACCTTCCCTTCCTCTTCTCATAACAGACACCCTGTGAGGTAGGTGGGGCTGAGAGAGTTTTGAGAGAACTGTGACTGGCCCAAGGTTACCCAGTTGGCTTCATATGGAGAAGTCCACCACTCTTAACCACTACACCAACTACACCATCATACTGCATAAAACATCCCATGAACAATGCCACAAGACTATTATTGGGGGGGGGGGACCAATGCCACAGGACTGGTACCACAAAATCAGAAAACAATACAAAACAACAAACTGTCTAAGGCATAATAAAAATGCAGAAATGGAATTACAAAGATAGAAATAATCCAGAAAAAATAAGTGCATATACAACTCAAATATACGGACACCACACACGTAGCTGTGTAAGCATAACTCCTGCAATACAATTGAGCAGAAAAGCCAAAAATGATAACAAAAGTTTTTGGTTTAAATCCCCCCCCAAAAGGTTTTCCTTACTTACATATAGAAAAACTATACACTGAGAGAAAAAAATAATCAGAGCAACCTTTTAAGGCGATACTCAGTTCATCATATTCCCCTTTTCCAAATGAACTCCTACATCCTGCTTTTTCTCACACTTCAACTCCCAAAACACCCAAGAGGACATGTGTATACACTGATTCTGCCATGTAGACAAAGGTAGACAAATATAGTAGGCCAAATCAATATTGTGCAAACAGCATTGTGCTGCTGCTGTACATACACACACACACAGCCTCACTGTTCTGGTTTTCATTGTGCTACAAGTTCGCATGGTCTAGAAACAAAAAAAGATGGATGCTGTGTCCTCTGCCAAGGCATTCAGATAAATCCCAGCTATTTATACTGTGTTCAGATGAGCTGCAGACTTTTCTCCTCATACTATTCTGTGAATGTGACACTTACAGTATAGGCATCTGATATTTTACAGTTTACTATAATTTGCTGGGCAGGGGTTTCTTTCTTTTCTTTCTTTTGGCAGCAGTGTTGAACATGGTCCTGCGGCCAATTCAATAATTAATTCCTATCAGGTTTTATAGTCCTTTATTTACTAAGACAATGAGTTACCAAGTGATAAACATCAAAATTAGGACTTAGAAGGGAAAGCCACTTATTCATAGTGAAAGAAAATTACTGTGTAGCACAAGTACTGTTAATGAGGTTACACTAAAATTTACCGCATTACACAATACAAACATTACTCATATTTCATTGTCTCTTTTCACAGCATGGTGTCACATTATCTTGACTTGCTATCTAAAGAAAAACGGCAAATTAACCTCCTGTCTCCCTCCCCTAATCATTAGGATATCCCTGCTTAACAGTTACCGGAAATCAATGCATGAGGGCTGTTCCTGGAGCCCTTACTCACATGGGTTGTTACAAGAGACCAATGCTACTACTGAAATGAGTAATTTACTCTCTATTTTTTATTCATCTGCCTAGCAACCAGAGTCAGCATCTCACTGTACATTTCCATCTCAAACGTTTATTCTCTTTCTTATTCCCTCAAGGTCAGAAGGTGCTTTCAGTTGTTTAGCTTACTGGCTAAGGGACTGATCTAGTTTAAATCGTTATCTCACCCACAAACACAGCAGGGGTTTCCAGGCAAGCCACTATGGGAATAATAAAACAGGCCTAACTTATAGGACTTTAATGATTACTCAGATAATATATGTGGAACACTGAATGCTGAAAACATGTTTGCTACAAAGTTGTTTATCTTACATTTGGAGAAAATTATAATAGTTTGTGTGAATGAAGCACAGATATAGTGCATTAAGTGGTGTCAGACTAGGATCTGGGGAAGAAGGAGGAGGAGGAGGAGGAAGACTAGATCTAATGGGTGGAAATTACAAGGGAGTCGTTACTGGCTAAATACCAGGAAAAACTTCTTAACTGTAAGAGTGGTTGAGCAGTGGAACAGTCTGCCTCGGGAGGTGGTAGATGCTCCTTCGCTGGACATTTTCAAACGGAGGCTGGATGACCATCTTTCGGGTATGTTGTAGGGCTATCTTTTGGCT